GAAGCTGTCCTCTTAGCTGCCCCTCATGGCTAATCATGGTTTGTGGCTTAGGATTCCCATTGCTGAATTTCTCTTTCAAAATATTTTAACTCGCTTCCCCCAGACGCCCAGCCAACTTCCTCAAGTGCATCATAAATCTCCAATCCAGATCTCCCACTCTTGTAGACCCTCCCGATGCTCTCATCACAGTGGCGGGAGCTCTCCGCTGATTAATGTCACTTGCGTGTTTGTAACACAGCCTTCAACTGTGGTGATGTCAAGATAAATCATTGTTCAGACCCTGGGAGTCGGCAGAAGCCAGGGACCTTAGTGTGCCTTCTTTATTTTATAGTTGAATACAACAAAGCCCAGGAGAGCTTAGGTGACTTACCCAAGGTCACACCATCGGAAATTATCCGACTAAACTGGGGCTAGAATCCAGATTTTCTGGGTTTTTGTTTTTGTTTTTGTTTTTACTTCAGTTTCCTTTCCAACTCACCAATAACTATTTAGTTTCTTTATTCTACTAAACATTTTTAAAAACTTTAAAAAATTGTGATAAAATCCGCACAAGGTAAAACTCGCCATCGACACCATTTTTAAGTGGACAGTTGAGTGGCCTCAAACGCATTCACTCTCCTGTGCCACTGTCATCACCAACCGTCTCCAGAACTTTTTCTGTCTCCCCAGACTGACACTCTGTGCCTCTCACATGCCAGCTGTCTGTTTCTCCCTCTCCTAAGTCTCTTGTAACTGCTCTGCTTTTGGTCTCTGTGAATTCTGACTTCTCTGGGTACTTCATGTAAGTGCGACCGTTGACCATTTGTCCTTTTGTGTGACAGCTTATTTCGCTTAGCATAATGTCCTCCAGGTTCACCCACTGTGGCAGGTGTCAGAACTCCCTTCCTTTATATGGCGGAGTAGTCTTCTGTTGTATGTGGATAGCACATTTTTTTTTTACCACTCATCTGTCGATGGACACTCAGACTTCTCCCACATTTTGGCTATTGTGAGTCCTGCTGCTACGAACGTGGACGAACACGTATCCACTCACCAAGAAGTATTCCTTATATGCATTTAGAGACACTTGCTGCCGACCCTCGCTACTCATTTTTTTTTTCGTAATGGGAAGTTGGGAAAATACAAAAAAGCACAGTGAAGAATAGAAAAGCCACAGATGTTTTTGTGGTATATATTTACAGGATTTCATATTCATGCTGCCCATAATTTTAGAAGTTTTATACATACTAAGAATTTTAGCAGATAGTCCCATCTGTGTAGTAGGGAGAACACTTGAAATGGATTTCAAGAACAGAGAGCATGAACGCTGAATGTGACCTTGGCCAACTCTGGTCATCTGAACTATGACCTTACTTTACCTTAACAGTCTACAGAGATAGCTCTTTGTAGCGGTGCTTCTTTAAGACCATCGTGGTAGAGCGGGTTACTGCTAAGAGTTGGAATTTTGAATTACGGGTCTTTTCCAGTCACATTTCTTCAACATCCACTAGGGGGCAGTAAAAGACACATTTTTCAATAGGCCCGTTGCCTGCCAAGCAATCAGGCCACCACATCCTCTTTGCATCTCTTTCAGCCATCCGTGCATAGTTACAAGATAATGGATTTCACGTCCAACAGCAGCTTTGGGTAAAACTGGAGATACCAGCAGCTGTAGCGTACGTGCAGGTCTTCCTCCCATTCAGTCTGACATCAGTGCATAAAACTTCATTCGATATGTTGGTCCCCGATTGTATTTTTATTCAGTTCACATTAGTTCAGTGGTTCTCAAGCAGAGTGAACATCAGAATCATCCCTCATGCTTTTTCCAAAGTACACATGCCCAGGTCTCCTCCTAGATCTATTAAATCAGAATTTCTGGGCTGGGGCCTAGTTAGAGAGACTATATTTTTATTCTAGTCCATGTGTTCTTGCCAAGAACTAGTGCATTCGTTCTTAACTTTAATAACTGGGAGGGGAAGGGTCATTCTGGGGTAAAACCTCAGAAGAGAGGTGAATATGAATTCTGGAAAAATCTCTTTCCCTTATAAAAATAGAAGCCACTGAAGGATCTGGTGGCTGTGGGAACTCAGAGCTCTGAGGCTTTCTTATAGATTGTACCTATATTATAATAAGCCAGGAACCTGGGCAGGAGCTTCCGGAATGGGGGAGGCCCTAGCAAACTCAGCATCTGTGGTTATAGCTCTGAGAAGGCCATGCTCAGGGTCCAGACTCCTTAGTGTGCAGCCAGAGTTCAGACACCAACACTCTCTGCCATAGGGAGAGAATCTTCCCTGTAGTATTCAGGAAAAAGAGGCATTTATCTTTAACTTAGGAGAGGTAAGTGGGTGTAGAGAACCTGCAGTAAGGTCAGACGACCTTAGTTCTCATCCGAACCATCCCGCCAGCCAGTGAGAGGCCCCAGGGCAAGTCATGTCACCTTTCGGAGCCTCGGCTTCCCAGTTTGAATTATGGGAGGACTGAGCGGCACTGATCTCTAAGGATCCTCCCTGTTCTAAAATTTCAATGATCCTGTTAGTATTAATAATCATGATTTGTATGGTCCTACCCCGGCAAAGAACAGAAGAAATATTCAGTAATGCGATGAATGACAGAGACTATTGACCATGTAGTTTAATTTATTTAAGGCATATACACTGAATTCAAAGGAGAAAATATTGCTCCTCATAATATATTGAACTGTTAGCGTCTTCAGCATAGTAAAAGCTTTCCAGAGGGAAAAATTATCCATCAGTGCAAACTTGACATTTTTCACTTTTTGATCCGTAACTGCCATTCCTCCCACATGCTTGTATTTACCGCGAAGGGCCAAATATAGGAATGCTTTGGATGCATATTAAATAACTACATAAACGTCAAGGTCATGGTTACAAGAAAGGCTCCGTGGAAGGCCCTAGGAGGCTTGCATTGATCTCTTGTGAACTTCCATTCCCGAATCCTGCTGACAGACAAGGGGAAGCAATTGATGTGGACCATTATTAAGGTTTTAAGTGTTTCTCCATTGTTAAAGATCTTTTACAAGCCCGGAGTAACCGATAGTGCCCAAGGAATTGGCAAAAGCTTCACTTAGAAATATAGGCTGGTCAGAGAGATAAGTAAAACCCAGAGTGCAGCTGTGCTGGGCTGAGCGCCCACAGCAAAGGCGGAGGGCCGGGGTGAGTCCAGTGTGGGGAGATGCCCGCTCCTCAGGCTCCAGGCATGGCTCGGAGTTACAGACCCCAGAACAGCCCAGAACGGAAGGCCCATTCGGGAGCTCTTGCACACCATGAGTTGCACTCTTTCCCATCCGCCTCCGGCTTCCTCCAGCTCCCCCGCCCCGTCCACGTCCAACTCTGTGCATTCTCCATGACTGCAGGGTCTACCTGAGAGTGTCCAGGGGAAACTGGGTGCGCGTGAATTATGCAGACCTGCGGATCCAGACTGACTGTCTGGACGGGTCAAGTGCCCCAGATAATTCTGTGCGTGTGCCGCTGACCCGGAGCGGGGAAGACCGTCGATGGTACGATAGTACGGATGGCAGAATCTAGCTTCAGAACCATCTCAAAGGACCGAAGGAGGATGGGCGGGGTCTGCGAGAGGAACCAAATAGGAGATCCAAGTGGTAACACGAACGTTTCCCCGCACTAGCTCCGCATTTGGTCTTACGCTCGGCCCTTTGCACATTTTAGTTTCTCTCCTCTTTACTGTGACCCCATGAGGGTAGGTTTTTGGGCCCCATTTTTATTTTTATTTTCCTTTTTAAAAAAAAAAGATTTATTTATTTATTTATTTATTTGAGAGCTAGAGTGAGTATGAGCGGAGGGAGAGGGAGAGGCAAACTCCCCACTGAGCAGGCAGCCTGGGGCAGGGCTCAATCCCAGGACCCCAGGATCATGACCTGAGCTGAAGGCAGACACTTAACCAACTGAGCCACCCAGGAGCTCCTAGATGCCCATTTTTAAGAGGAGGAAACAGAAATCCAGTAGGAGAGAGGAAGGTGCACACACTTTAGAGTCCCTGATGGAGATTCTAATCCCTGTTCCGCCTCTCAGTTAGCAGACAAGTTACTTCTTCCTCAAGAAGCAGGAAGAGCTGGGCTTCCCGCTGCCTTTCCCGGCTCCGGTTCTGAGTGCTTGGACCTTTGCATTCCTTATCTCATTTCATCCTCAGATGAATCTTACTGACAATCTTACTGCTCAGAACAATCTTATTGTCATTCTGTAGGTGAGGAAGTCACCAAGAACTTAAGTAACTTGCCCAAGGTCACGCGGGAAGAGCTGGGCCAGGGTGTAGCCCGGGCAGTGGGAATGGTGCCCACACTCCGAGCATCGGCTTTGCCCTCTCTGCTCCCTGTGCCGGGAGAAAAGAATCATATTCTCTGTGAGGGTCAGAGTAGGTGACTGCTGTCCAGTGCCTCGTAGAGTCTCTGGCGCTTCGCAGGCACTCATACGTGGTGCGAGGCCGGGGCACCTGGGTGGCTCAGTCGGTTAAGCATCTGACTTCGGCTCAGGTCGTGATCTCAGGATGCTGGGTTCGAGCCCCGCGTCGGGCACCCTGCTCCGTGGGGAATCAGCTTCTCCCTCTCCCCCTGCCTCGCTCCCCCCTCTGATCATGCTCTCTTTATAAATAAATAAAATCTTTAAAAAAAAAAATGGTGTTAGGCCATTATCCTTCTCCTTCTGCCCCTCCTCCTCCTCACCATTAACAGGTCATCGTTAGTTAAATGGCTTGCCCGGTGTTAGACCTCACAACTGACAAAGACCTGGAATTTGGACCTAGGTCCTGTGACTGCAGACCTACAACACTCCCGGTCCCCTTCCTAGAGGACAAGACTGAGGACAGATCTTAGGTCCAGATCTCGATACCTAGCCCCATTGTTATCCCCCCCGGTGCTTCGTGAAGACTCCCATGGATGGGGCTCACTTTATCACTCCTTCCCCAAACATTGGCTGAGGTCCTGCTCTGTCTTGGGGGCCTGGAGAGGAAAAGAATGTAATGCCAACCGTGCCTTTTTCCCCCACCAGGTTCGAACGGTGAAAGATGGCGACCCCTCCTGGAAGCCCACGTTCATCGTGAAACCTGACAGCGGCTGTCAGGGCGATGGCATCTACCTCATTAAAGACCCCAGTGACATCCGCCTGGCAGGGACCCTACAGAGCCGGCCGGCGGTGGTCCAGGAGTACATCTGCAAACCTCTTCTGATCGACGAGCTCAAGTTTGACATCCGTCTGTATGTCTTACTCAAGTCCTTAGACCCCCTGGAGATTTATATAGCCAAAGACGGACTCTCTAGATTTTGTACTGAGCCATACCAGGAGCCCAGCCCCAAAAACCTGCACCACACCTTCATGCACCTGACCAACTACTCCCTGAACATCCACAGTGGCAACTTCGTCCATTCGGACAGCATGAGCACAGGCAGCAAGAGGACTTTCTCTAGCATTCTCTGTAGACTGTCTTCCAAAGGTGTTGACATCAAGAGGGTCTGGTCTGACATCATCTCCCTGGTGATTAAGACTGTCATTGCCCTGACTCCAGAGCTCAAAGTCTTCTACCAGTCGGACATCCCCGCGGGGAGGCCGGGGCCCACGTGCTTCCAGGTAACTGTTGCCAGTCCCAGCCTGAGTTCCCCAAACCTCACAGGACCTGTGGAGGGCCCCCTGGCTTCCTGTGGGATGCCGGGTGGGGGCGGGGTGGCCAGAGGGGGGCCCGGGGGGGGGGGGGTGTAGGAGGGGGGAGTTGCGGTGTGGCCTCTGTTGTTAAACCTGGGTCCAGCTTTCTATTTGCTAGTCGTGTGATTTGAGGCAAGTTACTTCCCTTTGCTCACCTGTAAAATGAGACAAAGAGTACCTCCCTGAGAGGATTCTTGTAAGAATTAAATGAAATAACATAAGCACAGTGCTTGCCATTTATTTATTCATCCTTCCTTCCAGCGTTTTGTACCACCTGCTTCGTAGGGGGCCAGGTCTTGTCCCAGGTACTGTGGAGATGGTCAGTCATGGCTCCCCTGGCCAAGGCAGGGAGTTTACTAATATGGGAGACAAATCCTTTAAAAGCGCCTCGTATGAATATGTCACAAGTGCTAGAGTAGAGGAAGAAATTGACTGGTCACTGTGACATTGCAGGACCGTCTGGCATTTTCTGGCTGGGCTGGGAAGCCTCTGCAGAAGGAGTGGCAGACGAAGTCAGATATCCTGGATAGGGCTGGGGAGACAGTGTTCTGGGGGGACATGTTCGCAGCCCTAGGGGGATGAGGGAGTCATGCAATTTGAAGAATTGAAAGAGGTTCGGTGTGGTTGGAGGGTGGGGCTTGAGACAGAGCTTGGAGGGAGATGAGAGAAGAGGAGGTGGGAGCGGTAGGTTGTGGCTGAGTTATGGAAGGCTGAGGGCAGTGGGGGCCCCATGGGTTGTAGACAGGTGAATGGTGGGCTTAGATTGGCACATTGCAAATAACAAACCAGCTGCAGGGTCGAGAGTGGATTGGGCACAGCTGGGAACAGGGAGGTGACTAGGGAACCGATTGCTCTCCTGTAAGCAAGAGCTGGTGTTCACTTGGACTGGGAAGGTCTTGGTGCTGATGGAGAGAGTAGATCTGAGAGTCATGTAGCAGGTGGAAGGGCTGGGTTGGTGACTGATGGGGCTGGAGAGAGTGATGAGGCCGTGGCAGTGAGGGACAGGGGAGAACCAAGACTGACTCACAGGTGGCTTAGGCATTTGGATGGATGAACAGAAGCCACAGGAAAGGCTTGTGTGAGGAAGGTCAGGAGCTGGACTTGAACATGCCCTTGAAGAGCCCATGTGACATCTGGTTGGAGAGTTTGAGTGGACAGTTGGACATTTGGACCTGGAGTTCAGGAGTGAGAGAGACAGGGCTGGGCTGGGAACTCATCAGCGTTCACACAATGACCAAAGCCATGTGAGGCTGCAGAAGAGACGGGGCCTCAGAAGACTCCTGAGGGCACAGCCGTTTAGGCAAGGGATAGCTGGTGGGGCCTGGGGGAGGGACCTGCACCAGAGGCCAACAAGAAGGGGCTTGAGATGTAGAAGGGATATCAGCAGAGGAAGCACCCCGAGCGCCAAGGAAGACGAGCTTGCAGAAGGAGCAGGCAGGAATCACCAGTGGCAAATGCCACTGAGCTGTCACACAAGACCAGAACTGAAATTGCCCACTGTGCTTCGTGACTGGCGAGGATGGTCTTCGAGGGAGTAATGGGGCCGGGGCCACAGTGTGGTGGCCCAAGCCAGAGTGTGGCCAGAAGGGAAGGGAGAGTGAGAGCAGAGCCGTGAAGCGGGGCGAGGCTGGAGTCCGGACACTCTGTAGACAGCCGGGTCCCTGCCACCAGATAATCAGAGTGCGGAGCCGATGGGAAGAAGGAGGACTTCTGGGACCTCTCCGACTCATCTTTAAAATTACTCTGTGGCAGGTGAATATATAAAAAGAACACACAGAACCTGTCCATATGCTTTGGAGCAGAACAGCACAATGGGCATCCCAAGCGCCACCTCCCAACCCAAGACTGCCCACCAGCTACTGTGCTTGTCCCCAGCCCATTTCCCTACCCACCGCTGCCCCCAGGGTCACAGTGTCTGGAATTTTACGTTTATCATTCCCCTGCCTTAAAAAATACCTTTCTTATGCACGAATGTTTCCCTATATTGCTTTGTTTTGCTTGGGTTGCAGCTTTATACAAATGCTGCTATGAAGTAAACAGTCTTTTTCAACATTCTTTTCCACCGCATGTTGAGGTGGGTTGCTGGGCCCTGTTTCATTTGCACCTGCTATTATGCCGATACCAAAACACACAATTTGTTTGGGTTGCTTCTCGTCCTCCATCCAAGAATGTGGCAGGAGAGCAAGATGGAATAAGAAGGGAGGGGAGAGGCGGGCGGAGCTGGGGAAGCAGAATCTCTGATGGGTGGGCTGTTTATTTGATGGCAAAAGAGGAGGCTGGTCCTGAGGTGCAGGCTCCCAAAAGAGTGGCTCCCCCTGGGGCTGGGCACCAGTCAGCAGGATTTCCGGGCCGGCCGGTAGAACCCTTTGAAGGGCAAATCAATCGGTGGCCAGTTCCAGGAAGGGATGGTTGTCCTCTAGAGATCCGTCCTTAGGCACTTGGATCCCAGGCTCTGGTTCCCAGGTAGGATGTCCAGCTCAGCCATCACGTAGGGAGCTAAAGGCATTAGAAAGGGTAAGTGGGCAGAACTTGGAGATAAGACCGGAGAAAACAAGTCCGATCCCAAGCCATGGAAAGGTTAGGGCAGAGGAGACAGTTGCAACGTGGAGGCCTCCGGGGGTCATCCCGGGGGACTGTGTGGCCACATGTGTCTGACGGTGACAGCTATTCCAGGAGAGTCATGTGGGCCCAGCATGACCAGCCAAGCCACGGAGCCCTGGCACAGTGGAGGGGCCGGTGGGAGGGCCAGGGGCAGTGGTTTGCTGCTTGTCTTGCTGTGGACAGGCTGCATGGGGCAGCCACTGGGGTGGAACCGGGGGCTGGGGCTGTTGGGAATTGGAGGGCAGACAAGGAGGGAGCCACTGGTTTGGACAGACGACATCTCGCACATGGAACCGCAGCCCCATGTCTGTTTTCCATTGCTAGACCAACACTAACTGATTCCAGGCCCGGGGTCAGGGGACGAGCACCGGACTGGAAGCAATGCTCTAAGGAGGAGCTCTTACCCTTTGCAGCTGTGCGACCTTGGGCAAATTCCCTCACTACCCTGGGCCTCTGTTTCTTTCTCTGTCAATCACCTACACCCACTTCCCCAGCTGCCTTCCTAGGAGGAGCTTGAGGCACTGTGGGAGAAAAACTTCCGACAAGGTGTAAAGTGTTAGATGTTCAAAATTGGGTTTCCCATACATTTCAGATTCACAGTGATTGAGAAAATAACTAGTTTTTTTTTCCAACCTTGGAGTCCTCTCTTACTTTCTTTATTCTAGTCACTTGATAAGACACTTGTTAGTTTGAGTCTCAGATACCTGAAGTAACTTGAAGCCCAAAGATTGGGGGAAATGGTGTGGTTCTGCTATGGAGTTGCTGTGTGACCTTACCTAAGGCACTCAACTTCTCTGTGCCTATTTCCTCAGCCTCCTCACAGAGCTGTTGTCCATTGCATGTGAGATAAAGAGTATAAAGGGCTTTGCAAACTACAATGTTCTTTGCATGGACAAGAAATGATTGCTTTGTCGTGATGCCCCCTTTGCCTGTAGCCTGGGCCGGGCCCACATGGCCGCATTCCGGGACATAAACTCTAGCCAGCGACATTACATTTATCTTAAACATGTGATTGTGACCCCTTTCCAATCATAGCCACAATAACTACTCGGGAAATTGTGGTGGCCCGGAACGGCTGCTGGCACGGCTCAGGCTGTGGGCAGCTTTCCTGTAATCTGTTGCCTAGGAACGCGGCGGCCCTGTCATCGCGGTCTGCCCGCCACCCCCCCCCGCCCCCCGCCATCGTGCAGCCAGCCCCCCGAGATACATCCTCACGGCAGTCTTCTTGAGGGCAGCAGTGTGACCCTGGCTTTGGCAGTCAGGTCCATGTGGGGGCAGATGATTCATGTGGCAGAAAAACACACGCAGAGAAAAGGTGTCCAGCTGGGCTTTCAAGAACATTCTTTCCCAGTTCTGCTGCTGGGTGTCGATCTTCCTTTAGCTCTGTGTCTCACTCTTCTCTTGGCTCGTGATCTTTTCCCTTAGAGGTCTGGAGGAGACACCTTTCCTGAAGCCTAAGCTGCTTCTCCTTCTTTGTTCTTTTGACCTCCTGTTCCCCTTTAGCCCCAGACGCCCCCTAGGAAGGAGATGAAGAAGCAGCCTTGTGGTCATGCAAGGGCTTGGGTTTCGCTCTCCGATGCCCTGGTTTTGAGCTACTACCAGCTCCTCCTTCCAGGTGAGCTTGGAAGTTAACCTTCCTTCGCCTCAGTTGCCTCATCTGTCCTGCCACACAGAGCAGCTCCTCTTAGACGTAATTTGTGCCTTCCTGAGCCTGCCCGTGTGTCCTCCTCTGTCTTGGCCTGGCGTGCTCTCGCCAGTCTCACTGTTTTTTGGAATTTAGTGCTTCTACCAAAGAGCTGCTTAAATCCCTCCTTCTCCGTAAAGCCTTCTTGACCACTTCTGATACATAAGCTTTTTTCTTCCTTTGGAATATTCCCTGGGCTTGCACTGAGACAAGCCCCAAGCTAGTTGTGGGGCAGGTGGTCATGGGTAAGACATGGTCCCTGAGGGGGCGCAGGCTACAGGGAAGACTGCCACCCGGGGATCACAACTGCTTATCCTACGTGCTGGAGGAGGGCCTCTACAGGATGCTGGGAGCGCGCAGAGAAGGGAGTAATTAACTTTGCCTGACCCAGTCAGGGAGGGCTTCCCAGAGGAGGAGCTGTTGCAGCTGGAGCTTCAGGCATGAAGCAGAATTTGGCAAGCAGAGAGAGGCGAGGGACTCCCACTGTGGCCTGCTTTTCCTTCCACCTTACTGGATGCTGGTTCTGCGCCCCTCCTTCTGAACCTGCAGTGCTGGAGATTCCCAGCACTCAGTGCTTAGGAAATTCCCCTAGCGACAATCACTCCCTAAATGATCTCACTTAAGGTTAGTGTATTTAGCTGCC